CTTGTTGAGGGAGGGGTACCGCAGCACGTCGTAGCCCCTCTTCATGGTCAACACCGGGCTCTGGGCGGCGGCGCGGCTTTCCATCCTCGGGGTCCGGCGTGCTTGTGTGTGAAGGGAGTGCGCTTGTTGTTGTTGTTGTTGTTGTTGTTGTTGTTGCTGGTGCTGCCCGTGAGGCGATGGGGCCTGAGAATGCCGGCGCCTGCGGGTGCTTACAACCGCCTCTTGGGAGCAGGAAGGAGGGAGGGAGGCGAGGCGCCCTGGCAAGAAGCCTCCTCCCGTCCCTCCTCCTCCTCCTCCTCCCCGCAAAAGGTCAGCAGGGCGAGGAAAGAGCCGCTGAGTCATCACCACCACCATCCCTCGAAGAACAAGGCCACGCCGAAAGGGTCGCATACAGCCTTCCTCTCAAGTCAGGCAGGAAAAGGACACCCATTCACCTCAGGAGTCAGGCCCTAGAGAGGGCGCCTGCCTCTTGTCACCCTTGTGAGAAAGACAGGTGTCACCCTGTTTACAAGCAACACCTGGAATTCCTTCTTCCACACAACCCTTGAACGATCTCACTCTGGCAACCCTTGCTACTACTACAAGTTGAAAAAGCATCAATTTACCACAGGCTTCACACTCTGAAGAGGAATATTGAGGCAGAAAACTGTTAGAGTTGTGTGAAAGGCAGGCCTCACCCAACCTTTTCACAAGCATCACCTGACATTCCTTCTGTAGTGGATTCAGCCCCCTTCCTTCCACATACCCATTAAAAGTTTTCACTCTGGCAACCATTATTATTATTATTATTATTATTATTATTATTATTATTATTATTATTATACTGACACAAAAACACAGTATGTCACAGCAAATGAGAGATATATGCTGGATTTCGTATCACAAAATCACAAGCCGAAAACTTCCCAAGCGTCTAGTACTGTGTGATGTATTTTCAAATGATGCGCGCAGATCCAAGTAATGTGGCCTTTTGCACTTGACAGATTGTGATTTTGCCAATGTTTATTGTTTCCAAATGCCAGCTGAGATCTTTTGGCATGGCACCCAGTGTGCCGATGACCCCTGGGACCACCTGGACTGGTTTATGCCAGAGCCTTTGCAGTTCGATTTTGAGGTCCTGAAAACGGCTGAGTTTTTCCTGTTGATCTTACTCAAGACGACTGTCACCTGCTATGACGACATCAAGAAGCCAAACTTTTTTCTTTCCCACAGTCGTGATGTCTGGCGTATTGTGTTCCAAAAACTTTGTCAGTCTGGATTCAAAAGTCCCACATTATTTTTGCATGTTCATTTTCCATTATGATCCCACCAATTCTTTACTGCTGGCAGGTGGTACTTGTGACATAAGTTCCAGTGAATCATTTGGGCCACAGAGTTGTGCCTTTGTTTGTAGTCCGTCTGTGCAATTGTTATTATTATTATTATTATTACACAGGCATCAATCCATGAGGGGGAACATAGGATTGCCAGAGTGACAAATGGAGAAGACTCCTGTCTCTTGTCACTATTATGAGTAGAACAGGTGTCACCCTGTTTACAAGCAACACCTGAAATTCCTTCTTCCACACAACCCTTGAACGTTTTCACTCTGGCAACCCTTGCTACTACTACAACTACTACACAAGTTGAAAAAGCATCAATTTACCACAGGGTTCAGACTCTCAAGAGATATATAAGGCTAAAAACGGTTACAGTTGTGTGAAAGGCAGGTCTCACCCAACCTTTTCACAAACATCACCTGACATTCCTTCTTCCACACATCCATTGAAGGTTTTTACTCTGGCAATCATAATCATCATCATCATTACTATTATTATTTGAAACACAACAAGATGAGTACACAGAAAACAAGATCACTATGATGGCTGTTGTATTGGATCACACATCGGACACTTCCCATCACTGTGTGATGTATCAGCAAATAATGCGAGCAGATCTGAGTAGGATGGCCTTTAGCAGCTAACAGATGGTAATTTTGTCAGCGCTGATTGTATTTAAGTGCAGGCCAAGGTCTTTAGGCATTGCACCCAGAGTGCCAATCACCACTGGGACTACCTTTACTGGCTTGTGCCAGAGTCTTTGCAGTTCAGTCTTTAAATCCTCATATCATGTCAACTTTTCCAGTTGTTTCTCTTCAATCCTGCTATTGCTTGGGATTATTATTATTATTATTATTATTATTACACAGGCATCAGTTCCTTAGAGGGGATATAGGGTTGCCATAGTGACAAATGGAGAAGACTCCTGTCTCTTGTCACCATAACGTGTAGGACAGGTATCGCCCAGTTAACAAGCAACACCTGAAATTCCTTCTTCCAGGCTCCTTCCACACAGCTGAATAAAATCCCACATTATCTGCTTTGAACTGGAATATCTGAGCCCACACTGCCATATATTCCAGTTCAGAGCAGATAATGTGGGAATTTATTCAGCTGTGTGGGAGGGGATTCAGATAACCCAGGGATTGTGGGATTTTCTGCCTTGATATTCTGGTTATATAATAATATAGTATAATAATAACTTTATTTTTGTACCCCGCCTCCATCTCCCCAAAGGGACTCGGGGCAGCTTACATGGGGACAAGGTCATGTTATGTGGCTGTGTAGAAGGACCCCAACACAAACACTGAAGGTTTTCACTCTGGCAACCTTTGCTACTACTACAACTACTACACAAGTTGAAAAAGCAACGGATTACCACAGGCGTCAGACTCTGAGGAGGAATATAAGACTAAAAATTGTCTGTTTTGTGAAACAGGCCTCACCCAACCTTTTTATCATGCTTCCGTAGCAGTGAAAGGTTTCCTTAGTTTATGCCTTTATGATGATTATAAATTTAGCAGAACGGAGCTGTCTTTTCAAAAAGTTGGCAACTATCACAACCCACACTGTCTGTGAAGGGTGTCAATAATGTCAAAAGCAGGATGTAAATGTCCTGTTTGCTATCCTCCAAATTTTTTTGCACACATTGCATGTTCATGATGTTTTTCCTTTTCTGTACTCTCTGTCCTTCTCCCCATTATCTCTTCAGGTCCCATGACTATCTACACTTCCTTCCATTTGGACGTGTGCCCTATATAACCCTATGCATATTCACTTGACAGCAATTTCCTGCGAACTTAGATTTAGAATTATGGTAAGTGCTGTAATTTTATGCACAGTTGTTTGGGAATTATACTTGGTTTTGAGCCACCTTGGCATTTAATGAGCATTGCACTCCTTTGACTGTTTATTCAGACATTATACTAATGTGTTCAATGGCATATAGTAGGTCTGTTTAAGATTGTAGCCTAAATATTTTAATTTATTCAGTATAATTAACTTGTGAGTAAACATCCCTGCAATCAAACCACAATATAAAATTCCTTCGGCCTTGTACTTCTGTATCAGAGAGATTAAGAATTGTTTATCTGTTCCTGAGGCTGAGCAATGTACTTCATAATTACAGCGTGAATTTCGTTTTGTTTATGGATTATATTGGCTGAAATCCAATGTTTAGTCCCAGTTAGATACCAGCTCAATCAAAAGGTACATCAACACTTACATACACTCCATTAATTTAATGGGCCTGCTCTAGCTTGGACTAGCAGTTTGGTTTACAACTTAATTGTTAATATATAATGCAGTTTTATTAGTGACTATTCTGCATTTTCTTTCAGTACAGTATAATGTCTCTATACATGCTGAGGAGTTAAACTTAGGGTATCTTTACATTGACCTTTTAGGTTAGTGTGAAACTGGCATATAAGGAAGCGGGTTCAATGCTCATATGATTTCACTGCAAGTCCAGGAACCAGTTCAAAGCCCACATGGTGATTACACAAGTAGAGTTGCTAACTCCAGTTTCTAGAACTGCAGTATCTGAAGCGTGACAGCTCAGGAGATTTGGGGGGGGGGGCAACTCCTCTACAGAGGTCACTTATGCAGATTAGCAAAGCACATCAGATGTCCTTACAATGATTCACATTCTGATTTTAACTTTATTGTTTATAATATGGATGATGCTATGGAGCATTCTTCTAACTTTTATCATTTGTTTTTAGCTTTGGTTTTATGTTTCGATTTATATCTTAAGATGATGTGAGCTGCCTTGAGTCCACGTGGAGAAAGGCGGCATAGAAATCTCCTAAATAAATAAGTACACTAGAGCGTGATAATGTGCATTAAGAGCTAAATTTTGGAATTTTCCATGATGTTACTTATCTTGGTTTAAAACTGTTAAAAGAACGCTGCTTTCGCGGTGTACGTTTATAACCACAGTACTCTCAAGCTGCTTTCAAATTGTAGGTGTGCCCTCAGATTCTGCTGATTGCTATCATATAAAAATGGCTTGAGTGGAGAATATATACAGTTATTTACACAAAAATTTCTCTATGAAAACTATGTTGGAAATACCAACCTTCCAAGCCTCCACTAACTGTTTGTTAATGTATATAATTGTTAGCCTGCATTCTATGTGTATTTGCCAATTTGGTTAATCTCTTTGATGTGGGAGGAGTTATAGACAAATGCAAGATACTCCACTTTGGCAGGAAAAACGAAATGCAAAGATATAGAATGGGGGACGCCTGGCTTGAGAGCAGTATGTGTGAAAAAGATCTTGGAGTCCTCGTGGACAACAAGTTAAACATGAGCCAACAATGTGATGTGGCAGCAAAAAAGGCCAATGGGATTTTGGCCTGCATCAATAGGAGCATAAAAATGTCCTGGTACTAATTTACATTTGTACACCTAGTAAGGGTATTTGGGTTATCAGCACAATGATGGACTGGATGGCCCATGAGGTCTCTTCCAACTCTTTGATTCTATGATTCTATAGATGTGATTGTACTGAGCATGTGCAAACTCGGGATTCCATTAGCGCAGGCGGCTAAATATCTTTTGACCAAAAAGGGCAACAGCAATGGCATTTTCTGTAGCCTCCAACAATTCTTCCTCTGTACATGAGGCAGGGTATAGTGGACAAGCATACAGGTGCTGAGTTGTCTGTTCTGCTCCACAGTTGCACAAGGTGTGGGATTCTTTTAAGTGGTGCCATTTTGCCAGGTTGTCTTTTGATCTGCCCACTCCACTTCTGTTCTAATGAAAGCAAGGAAACCAAATATAGATGGAACCATGCTCAGATACATCTCCCAATATAGTGCCTTCCAAGTAATTTGGACTCAGCTAGGGGTTCAGAGTATCTGGAGAGAGTTACATTGAGAAGGTAGTATACCACAGACGTTGAGCTCACTGTAGCCACTCACTTCAATTGTTTCATTTCCAACAGAATTGGGATGCCTCA